TACACCTTAAAGGACAAAAGCAATACTCTATCGTGTTTATTTTAATTTTTAAGTGATGATTAGGTGATAATTAAAATTTTATGATATATTTAATATTTTCAAAGTAAGATATGTAGAACCGATACTCTTTACTTATAACATTTCGAAACAAATACTCTTTCTTTATTAAATTCATGTACCTATTTAACTCATATATCATAAACTATTTATATTTTATATTATAACAAAGTCTTCAAATACATTGTGAAATTAACTTTATTCCCATGTTTTAAATTAATAAACCTTAAAATAATAAGTAATATAAGCAATAAATGTGAATCTAATAATAAATTTAAAATTAAAATATAAATATAAAATCATTTTTTCAATAAAATATTTCGCCTTAAGACGAAAATTAATGCAAATCAGTCTTTCATACTATTTTGTTGCGTTATTCATCGTAATATTGTGCGCTTTTAAATCATCATTTCACACAAATGTGCAGTAGACATTTCGTCTCCGCACTTTAAGGTGCATTTTTATTTTGAAGTCTGCACACAAAATGTGCTCCTCGTCAGGGTTTAAATTGCTGTTGCTTATTGCATTGCACTCTGCATACAGAAAGTAAATTTTATTTCAACATATAAAAAATAACTAAATAAATAAATTTTTTAAATCAATTTTATTTTTTATTAATATTTTTATTTTTTATCTTCATTTTAAGCTAAAAATTATTTTTAACAGATTAGTAGAAAAATTATATAAATTAAAAATGTAAAAAATCAACGCTATCCATAGCAGAAAATGTCTGTGTACAAAACATATTAAGGGGAATTCCCGTAGTTTTAATAGCAGAATTTTGGCGTGCTTTATGTTTTACTGTACCAGACTGGTACTACCAGTATATCATTATACACAATCCTACGCACTTATTTTATAATTCAACGATTAAAAAGTAATTAAATTTATAGTGGCTGTTATATACTTTATTGATTTAAGTTATATAGATTTACAATTAATTAATAATAATAATAGTTTATACGGCATGGCACGCTTATTCCTTTGATCACAACGACGAACACCTACTCACTTCGTATTTTTCCTTTTTTATCTATTTCTTTATACAGGGTTGCCATTATCGAATATAGTTTCGTCCGTTGCACGCGTAAAGTGAATTCACTTTCAAATATTAATTCAATTTTATACTTTTAATTTTTTAATTTTCATTTTATCTTTATAATTTTAATTTTTTTCAATTTTATATTTTCATTTTCAATTATTTAATTTCGAATTTACAATTTTAATATTTCAATTTTAATATTTTATCTTTAAAATATTTATTTTACTAATTTCACTTTCAAATATTCAATTTCAAATTTACAATTTTAATATTTCAATTTTAATATTTTATCTTAAAAATATTTATTTTTCTATTTTCACTTTCAACTATTCAATTTGGAATTTACAATTTTAATATTTCAATTTTAATATTTTATCTTTAAAATATTTATTTTACTATTTTCACTTTCAATTATTTAATTTGGAATTTACAATTTTAATATTTCAATTTTAATATTTTATCTTTAAATTATTTATTTTACTAATTTCACTTTCAAATATTCAATTTCAAATTTACAATTTTAATATTTCAATTTTAATATTTTATCTTTAAAATATTTATTTTACTATTTTCAATTTCAAATATTCAATTTCAAATTTACAATTTTAATATTTCAATTTTAATATTTTATCTTTAAAATATTTATTTTACTATTTTCACTTTCAAATTTAAAATGAAGGAAGGCACAACTTCGCGACAATTGTAATCTTTAACAAAATCTAAGGTTAACATAAATGATCCTGGGTTTTATACCCCTAATAACAGTATCAAAAATCAAGCTGTCAACTCTGTTAAGTTGAAGCTTTTGATTTTTGTATGGACAAGAGCTTAAAGTTTTGTTCTAACAGAACTTTAGCATAAAGTTTTAATGTTACTTAAAATTTTAACAGAAGCGTCCTCTGTTATTGTCATGACAACGAAAAAATGTAATGCTATTTACATAGCGTCATCTCTCAAGCTCTCTGCTTGAAATTATGCTATGATCAGCAGAAATAGTACAGTTCATCTTTTGACTGTATGTGTGTCATTCTTAAGAAGTGATCACGCGATAGATAGATGCGTGTATCTTCTTAAATGTTTATAGTAGCGTTTCCTGTTGTGGCTACTGACTGTCCCAAGTGCGTTTATTAGGGTTTTGTTTATATTGCATTGGAATGTTAAGTGTAGCAAGAAAATGCTAAAGTATGAAATATTACTATACTTGAATGCTGTATAGATTGTTGGATTTTTTGAAATGATATTATTTTTAAATACTGTATAACTTTTTGAGATTTACGGAATTGAGTGACCCTAATAAATTATGAAATTTATTATATGAATTTTTGGGTACAGTGGGGTAAATAAGTAGAGAAATATTAGCATCAATGCTAATATGTAACTATATACTACAGTTCCTCCCCCATCAAATGGTCCCGTAACCTTTTTGGCGGTTGCCTCCGCCGGTACGGTCGCGATTTTAATGTTTCATCTCTTTTATCTTCTTCTTCTAATGACCCCTCTACTTGACTATCTGGTAGGATATATTCATTTGATGAATGACCTGCACTTACTTGGTCGTCTTGCTCTTCCGGTTGTGCCATTGAAGTTACTGCCACTGGAGTTGTATTGGATTCTAAACTTGTCGGTGTCTCCGAAACTCGCTTATGCAACTGGTCAATATGTCTCGACACTATGTTACTATTTGATTGAATTTTGTAGTTGCGATCTCCTGTTGATTGTATAATCCCTGGCATCCACTTTTCACCTCTTCCAAAATTTCGGTACCAAACACTTTCACCACACTGGAAACTGCGAACTGGTTTTATTTGTTTGGAATACTCATCAGAATTTAGCCGCGTCTGAGTGTTGTCATCACTGGGGTGCAAATGATCTAACAATGTTTTCAACTTCCTTCCCATCAAGATTTCTGCTGGACTCGAATTTGAATTTGCATTAGGAGTTGTACGCAGATGCAAAAGTATATTTGCCAAATTCTTATTGATGTCTGAAGACTGCATTTTCTTAAGGTGATTCTTAATGGTTTGTACAAACCTTTCTGCTTGTACGTTTGACGATGGATGATACGGTGCCGTACGTATGTGCTTTATACCGCTAAGTTTTAAATATTTCTCAAATTCTTCTGACACAAACGTTCGCCCATTATCGGACGCAATGGTATCTGGTATTCCGTGTGTTGGAAAAATTTCTCTCATTAACTCCATGGTTCTAATCGCATTTATTGTACTGGTTAATTTTACCTCTACCCACTTGCTATAAGCATTTACGACGATCAAAAAATTTGTACCCATAAAGGGTCCCGCATAATCAATATGTAACCATGACCATGGCCTTAGCGTTGCTGGCCATGGTTTACTTGCTGCAATAGGAGGATTCTTTTTGTTACTTGCACACTTTTCACAACGTCTGGCTAACATTTCTATATCTTCGTCTAAACCAGGCCACCAAAAACAGCTTGTACAACTGCTTTCATTGCCGATATGCCCTGATGAACTTCGTGCAACATGTCAAGTATTCTGGGACGTAGTATTGCTGGTATTATTACCCTAGCTCCCCATAACAAACATTGTGCATTCACTGATAGTTCCTGGATTTTATTCACAAACGGTTTAAACTGGATTGATTTATATGGCAAAACTGTATCTTTCCTTTGGATATGCCACATTACTTTTGATAGTACTGGATCTCTTCTGGTTGCTTGTGCGATGTCTTTTGCAGTGATCAAAAACTGTTCTTCAGCCTCATTACAGTATAATATTTCAGGTATTTCCGGTATTTGTAGCTTTACATCATTTAAAGGTTACCGGCTCAATGCATCTGCATTCTGGTGATGTGTCCCTTCTCGGAATTTAATCTTGTACTGGTAAGCGCCTGACTTTAACGACCACCTTAACATTCTGGGTGATATATGCTGTGATATTGGTTTTTCTGGGTTGAATAACCCCACTAGTGGTTTATGATCAGTCATTATTGTAAATTGTCTACCACTTAAAAATTGATGAAACTTTGGCACACCAAACATAATCGGTAGCGCTTCTTTATCCAACTGTGAATAATTTCGTTCCGCTCCCTGTAATGTTCTGGAGCCAAATCGGTGCTTCTCTATCATCCGGCATCTTGTGTGCCAAAACGACGCCAACTCCATACGGCAATGCGTCTCCGCATAATATCAGTGGTAAGTCAGCCGAATAATGCACCAACAGATTTTTTGATTGTAGTAGCTTCTTTGCTCGTTCAAAACTTAATTTCTGTTCTTTACCCCATTTAAAAGGTATCTCTTTTCTTAATAGTTGATACAGCGGTTCCAATAGATCGCCCTTATTTTGTGAAAATCTATCATAAAATGTAATTAACCCAAGAAAAGCTTGTAGCTGTTGTTTATTTATTGGTTCTGGTGCTTGAGCTATTGCCTTCACCTTTTCGTCAGTTGGACGCACTCCTTCTCGGCTTATCTTAAACCCCAAAAATGTTATCTCTTGTACCGCGAAAACACATTTTGATTTTTTAAGCTTTAATCCTGCATCCTGTACACATTTCAGAGCAGTTCGTGTTCTATCCCACAACTCTTCCAAAGTTGTTCCGCCAATTAGAATGTCGTCTAAATAAATTATCACACCATCTATGTTCTTAAGAACTCCTTCCATTACCCGTTGAAAAATACCTGGTGCCGTTGAAATTCCAAACGGTAATCTTGTAACTTTAAAAAGTCCGCGATGTGTGTTTAGTGTGAGTATCCTTGCTGTTTCTTGGTCAACCTTCACCTGTGTATATGCTCGATCTAAATCCAGCTTTGTAAACCACTTACAATTTGCTAATGTTGCTAGTACTTCTGTATTAGTAGGTAATGGATACGTTTCCTTGCAAAGCATTTGATTCACTGTGCACTTATAATCTCCACAAATGCGTATGCTACCATCTGGTTTAATAATAGGAACAACCGGTATTGCCCACTTACTAAAGGGTATTGAGCCTTCATCTTCCAACTTCTTTAATGCTGCTTCCACCTTGAGTTTTAGTGCAAAAGGCACTTGTCGATATCGAAGAAATTTAGGTTTGCTTGAAACTGACATTTGTAACTTTACAGGATTTCCCTTGTAATTTCCAAGATTTCCATCAAAAACTGAACTGAAGTTCATAACTTCTACTGGAATTGTTGATTCTATATTACATAAATTGCTGGTTATACTAATTCCCAAATCGTTAAACCAATTTCGATCAATTAGAGCCGGACCATCACCCGCTGCTACTAATAACTTTAGTTTCTTTGTGACATTCCCAAACGAAACTGGTACTTCTGCTTCTCCACTCGGTTTGAGATTTTTCTCTGTTCCCCAAGTTCTTAATTGTATTTGACTTGGTTTTAGTGGAATATACGGCATTTTTTTCTCTAAATAACTTCTCACTTACTATTGAGTAACTTGCCCCAGAGTCTATTTCCATTTGTACCGGTGACTTACCTATCGTAATCACTCTCTTGACCGATGGACTACTTTTAGCGAACATTCACAATAAATACTCCGTCGTTTGAGTTTGCTGGCTTGTGTCTAAAAGATTAACTCTGTTTGGTCTTCTCCCATTATTTGTTGCTGGCTTTTTGGTTTTTGCTTTTTTTATGCAAGCTCTCTAATATGTCCACGCTTTTTGCAATAATAACATTCCGCGTCTTTAAATTTGCACTGATCTGACTGATGATTTCCTCGACAACGATAACAATTCTGAATATGGTCTACTGGAGCACAAATATGTTTTACCTTGTTGCTTGAAATTTTATTCAAACCTGACCGGCTGGCCGATGTTTTAAGTTCCGTCGCATTTTTTTGTGCTGTTTCTGATGCAATAGCTTCCTCCTGCGCTATTTTTAATGTTAACTGGTCATTCGCCAGAAGCCGCTTTTGTAAATTCCCGTCGCGTATGCCACAGACTAACCTGTCTCGTAACATTTCATCTAAATCATTGAAATTGCAGTCTTGGCTCAATTTCCTTAGCGCTGCCAAAAATTCGGTAATTGATTCGTCTTCTTTTTGATCCCTCCGATAAAATATAAAACGTTGAATTATTATATTAGCTGCTGGACAAAAATGACTCGTCAATAGTTTAGTTGCCGCAACAAATGTAAATTTCTCATCTAATATGTTAACCGGTGTGGCAACCGATTTTAATATTGTATAAGTTTCCATCCCACATGAAGCTAAAAAGATAGCTTTTTTCTTTATTGCGTCTGTAATATCATTAGCCAAAAAGAAAAATTCTATTTGTTCCATGTACGTCTACCATTTTCCTGACGCCACGTTAAATTGGCTTAAATCTCCGAAATTCTTTGCCATCATTTAACATTTTTTAAAAACAGTCTGCTCACAAGAAAAGTTTTATCCTCGTCGCCAATTTTGTTATATACTTTATTGATTTAAGTTATATAGATTTACAATTAATTAATAATAATAATAGTTTATACGGCATGGCACGCTTATTCCTTTGATCACAACGACGAACAACTACTCACTTCGTATTTTTCCTTTTTTATCTATTTCTTTATACAGGGTTGCCATGATCGAATATACTACAGTGGCAAATGAAGGAAAAGAAATTATTAGCAGTGGAAGCAGTATTATTATTGATCTATGGAAAAAAAGGAAAATGTATCGCGAAATTAGTCAAATCGTTAAGTGGTCACATCTTTTTACCTAAAGAGTAGTGAACAACTACAACTAAACAGGATTATTGACCTCGAAGTTGGGATCTAGGCGTCCATCCAAGCTGTCAACAAGAGAAATCCGCAGCATTATTATTTAGACGCTTTTTAAACTCTTGTACGCAGACTTTTTCTGCCATCGATAGCGTTGATTTTTTACATTTTTAATTAATATAATTTTTCTACTTATCTGTTAGAAATAAAAGTACTAATAAAAAATGAAATTGATTTACAAAATTTATTTATTTAGTTACTTTTTATATGTTGAAATAAAATTTACTTTCTGTATGCAGAGTTTTTCTGCTAAGTGTATATATATATCATAAATTTAATAATTAAAAAAAACGAATTTAGTCATAATCTAATTACAGATAAAATTATATTAATTGCATACAAATTGTACGCACACACATTACTTACAATTTTACACAACTATATTCAATGCACCAACAAAGAAATAATGCGTACACATTTCCTTAAAACAAAAACAAAAAGAAGAAATCCATACACATTTGCTAATAGCAAAACACAAGCAGCTAACGCATAAGCAAGCACGTTGCATATATTCCAAACGCATAATAGTCAAATATGTAAAATTGACTATTAGCAAGCAATCAAAATGAAACATGTTAGCGTTTTTTGCTGTTGCTAATGCATATTCCTATTTCATTTTCATATGCAACGCATTAGCAATTAGTCTGACAAAAATTGACTGGTCAATATTTATGCATTAGTCAAAATATGGTTGCTTTTGCTAATTTTCTACAAGCAATTCAAGCCCTGCTCCTTGTATTCTTTTCTGCACACGTTGTGTGCGAGGGCAAGCTGGCTGCCTCACACACAATGTGCTGTGCGAAATAATTCGGCACAAACACCGAATTGGTGTGCGAGTTTTATTTCTCTCCACTACATTCGTGTGAAATGTGCGTTTTGTTTGTACACACAAGATGTGCACAAAATTTTCGTACACCACATTTGTGGTGTGAAATGTTATTTAGAATCGCACAACAATTGTGAGTGGTGTTTTGCATTTTTGTGCACAGCACAGTGTTTTTCTGAACCCTGTAAAAAATCCATAACAGTCTCGAAATTGACACGAGTCATGAAACCACTTTGACGCCGTGCTATTGTGTTTTTACCTTTAAGTAACTAATAGTGATAAATTAATATTTGTCTATTTTATTATACACATTTCATATTTTAAAATAAATTTCACTTTATTACAAAAAAAAAAAATAGATTATAATAACTTTGTGCTATTATTACTGATCTCTGTAATTTGATAGCACACCATTGGATAACAATTGTTGGGGGTTATATTTTTCCGTTCTTTTGCAAGCAATACATTTTTGAAGGTTTAATAGACATAATGTACATGTAAGAGTACTTAGTTTTATATTTGTATAAAAATTATACTTATGGATTTCTCTTTTTCTAAAAAAAAATAAAACAATTTAAGTTGCTTAAGTGGAATAATGTGCGTGCAAATTGCATAGCGCCAACATAACTCCGTTTTCGAGATAACACATTTTAAAATTATAAATTTTTTTAAATCTCGATGTAAGTTACATAGTCATACGGTGTCCTGAAAATATGCTCAAAATAGTTAACTCTAACAAGATCCGTTTTCAAATCGGTGTCCCAGGAAATCTGAAATATGTGAAGTTGAATATACGTGCAGTTTTTAATCAACGCATTTTGCTAATATAAGCTATTGTACAAAATAATGTAGAACATTTTTGTAGTAAAAACATATTATTTCAGAAAACTTCGTAGACATATCCTCTTAAGGTACATTTAGTACAATAATTACCACTATTCCATCAACAAAAAAATTTTGCACATGCAGCTTCTAAATCAAAACAAATTAGTCAGCCTTTTCGTGTCAAAACCAAATCCAAATGTAAATACAGTTACATTAGGCATATAATAGAATATTTTTTTTTAAGATTCAATCAAATTCGACTATCCAATTTGCATGTAAAAGTAAATTTAATCCGTTTTTAATTGGACTGCTGTAGTAGTAAAACCTGCATGTTCAGCGGTTACTTTTAGTTCTTGATGTTCTTTTTCATGTACTTCTAAATTTGCTTTTTCACATTGAACACACGCTCCTGTATGTCTATTATGTATACCATCATGTTCTAAAACTGGTAGTTCTTCAATTATTGGTGTACTGTTACGAACCATTTCATTTTCATTAATTAAAGATATTTTTTCACAAAGACCATATAAGTCAAAAATGGGATATACATTATTTGGAAGACATATAGCTAAATCCTCCAAGTTAGTGTTTCCTATCATTAAAACTAAAAAAATTATTAAAGTGTATTTTCAACATGATATAATTGTAAATTAATTACCTAAAACTCCAGCGTGTGTTAACGTCATTGTAATGATAATACCTGGTTTTAATAATTCCAATACCTCACCATATTTGGATGTCAACTTTTGCCCATTAATATTAATAACATCATGTGTAACTAGCCAACAAGGTCGTTTAAATTGAAGTATTGATGTAGGTATGAGATTATAATGTTTTAGTGGTATTCCGATCACACCTAATCCAATTGTTCCCTTCCAGCCTGTGTTAATATTATCTATTCTTATCTAATAAAATAAGCTTAAATATTAATACATAATTATTTTTGCTAAAACATTGTAAACAAACTTACACTAATACTTTCTCCCCTACGCAATGGTTTTGTAACAGAAACAATTCCCTGATTATATGACTTTAAGCGAGCTGCACTGAGGTGTTCGTCAGTCAGTCGAACATTTTTTCCATGGTAATCTAGAAATTCAAAAGATTGAGATTCAGACTCTATTGATTCCAACATGGAATCTTGTTTATTCAAAACATCCGCCCCAAAATCTAATGAATCTTGTAAACGTAAACTATAAGGCTGTAGAGGGGAAGTCGGTCCTTGGGATGATATAACTTGTACGGCCGTTGTAGAACCTTGAAGTTCAACAACTACATAAACATCCTAAAATGATATGTTTTCTTACATAAAAATCTAAATTTAATACAATGCAGTTCAACGTACATTTGATATATTTTGAAAATGTATATTTATATCCTCCGAGTTAAATAGTATGCGCAAAGTGCGGGCTGTTGTTAGTTCCAGAGTAATACGATCGCCAACTCTTAACCATTCTAATGATGCTAAAGAATGACGTAATAAAACTGAATTATATCGCATTTCGTTTGCCGACATATACCATACATTTGCTGGAATTTTTTTTATACAAGGTGGTATATTTTTACGTATACTTTCCTCTGCAAGATTAAGATCTGTAATGCCAATATTAAAACAACCAGCAATAAGTGGATTATGCGATGCTATTTTAATTTCAAAAGGAGTTCCGATACACATAGGATGTTCAGAAAAAACAATGCATGGTGATAATGCAGTTGCTGGACCGTTTAAACGTGAAGCCACTGTCCAATTTTGAGATAAAGTAATGTTACCACAAATACTGTTCCATCTATGTTTTGATTCGGGAATCACAGTTTGTAGAACAGAAGGTGCTAAACAGCTCTGTGAATTTTCACTGATAGCATATGGGGCTTTGAAATTTTGAATTTGTGTTAGAGTAACCACAGCACATTGTCCATATAAATCAATTACTGCCCAAGCATTTTGCATGAAACATTCGCAAGCTGGTCCTTGATCAACGCCATCA